CTTTTTTCCTTTTAGATGCTGGAATTGCCTCTCTGGGTGTGTGCTGAGCTCTGGCTGCAGGGGAATGTCAGGCCTTGGTGTGTGAGTTCCTGTTCTTCTCCCTGGGAAACTGGAAAGACTTATTAATTGGATTGCAGAAATGATTTCTGAAACCTGCCCCCTTCTTTGTGCCTTTTGCTGACAGATCTTCTCTTTCTGCCTTTGAATGTGCAGCCTCCTTGCAGCTCCCAGCTGGGAAAACCTGGGGTGACTCAGTGGGGACAGAGGTGATATTTATATCTGCAAACTTGGGGTAATTTCTAGGGGATCCAGCAACTGTTTCTGTAGGAAATGTGTTCAACCACGTTGGCCCAAGTTGTGTTTGCACCAGCTGGGGCCAGAGGTGCGAGGCAATCCAAAGCAACCCCTGCTCAGCCCCTAAATCCCGGGGTAAGTTCTCCAAGCTGCTCCTTGAGGGACTAAAGACCCACTAAAATGGAACCAAGAACACTAGTAAGGTTCCTGGGAATCCCAGGATTGCTGTCCTGGACTTTTTAACAGCTTTTTATGACAATAATGGCTTTCTTCCTTTGGACGAGTCCCTCAGTAGGGTTTGGGGTTTCTTTGGAGTTTGGATCCCTCCCAGTGGCTGAGGGAAGAGCTGAGGGGTTTTGTCAGGAAGAGAATGCCCAGTTTTGGGGTAACAAAGACAAAATCAATTCTGTGGAGGAAGGAGAAAAGTGGAGGTGAAAGTGGATGTTATTTGTAGGGGAGAGAATGAGCATTGAGAGGGGCACTGGGGCAGTCAGCAGTGAGCATGCAGGGAAAGTTCTGAGAGTAAACTTGTAATAGTCTCTAGGGTAGAGATTGAACATATTTAGGTATTAATGAGGTGATCAGATGTGGAGAGGTAGGGAAATTTTGGGGGTTAAAATCTGGGACAACCTGTAGCAGAGAGAATGAAAATGTTGTGTTAAAACAGAGGTGATCAGGAGTGGGCTGGAAGGGAAAGTTGTGGGGGTGAGATAGGAGAGAGTATCCATGGCAGAGAATGACGATTTGAAGGTAAAACTGAGGGAATCAGCAGTGGATAAGTGGGGTAAAATGTGGGGCAGTGTGTAGCAGAGAGAAGGAAGATTTTGGGGTCAACTGAGGCAGTCAGCAGTGGGCAGGTAAGGAAAGTTCTGGGGGTAAAACTTGAGAAACCCTCCGGGGCAGAAAATGAACCTTTGGAGGTAAAAACGAGTTAATGAGTGTTGTGCAGGTCGAGAAAACTGTGGGTGGGGGTTAAATGTGAGGTGATCTGTGGGGGAGAGAATGAAGATGTTGTGTTAAAAACGAGGTGACCAGTTGTGGGCTGGAAGGGCAGGTTTTGGGGCTTCA